ATGGCCAAAGTGTAGAGATTGAGAGTCTGTAGATTTCTGGTACTTGAGCAGGATTCTTATGTTAAACTACTCCCACTCAGGGCTCAGGGACCATTGCAGAAGAGGGGGAAGAAAGATTTTAAGAGGCAGGGAAGAAGTGCAAGACCATATGGAGATAGAGTCCTACAAGCTCCTGGAATCCTGCTTGTATGGTGTCAGTATGCACAGGACCCATGAAAATTCAGACAAAAATCCAGCATTGAACTAGGGAAATGGACAGCTGACCCCAATCTCAGCTGAAGAAATATTGGCAATTGATTACTGCTGAGTGAGGAAGAGCTGATCTTCCTAAAGGAAGGAATTCTAGATAGGCTGACTAGATCCCAGTGGATGAACTTGCACTGAGGGACATCTTGGAGACACTAACTTTACATGATAGGCCTTAACACAAATGATAGAATGTATGAACTCCAGTGGGGGGGGCTATGGGAGGGTGCCAAAGGGGAAGGGGATATAAAGATAATTTTCTGTATGAAATACACAAAAATTCAATTAAAAAAAAAAGAACTGGGGTGTACGGAGCAGGTATGGAGAAGCCTACTCACTGATACTCATGGGAGTGGCTGCAGAAGTGGAACTATCATAAAGAAAGCAACACAGAAGCCCTCCCACAGGCCCTATGAGAGCCCCACCTCTGTAGGCCTGGCCAACCTGCATCTCTGGCTTCTAGCCTATACCCTGTTTGGAAAGGAAGGAAGCCTTCCACTGCCTTCCTTGCAAGTGGGAATAAGTGAGCAGAGGGGCTCAGTGAGGCCACAGAGTCCAGGAAGGGGCTGCTGGGACTGGTGTGGAGGAACAGGAGACAAAGATTGTGCCCCTCTCCCAGACCCCTCTGCTTCCAGCCTCACTTGAATCCTCTCCGATGTCCCCCCAACCAGTCACCCAGCAGTCATTTCGGTTCTCAAACTTGAATGTGTTGTTCAGGAGGCAGATGGGTTGGATGTAGTTATTGTAGGTGACAGAAGAGGACAGCCTCAGCAGGGCGATGTCATAGGGATACAGCCCCAGGTACTTGGGGCTCAGAAAGATGTCTTCCACTTGGTAACGGTTGGAGTAGGCCTGCAGGTTCCAGAGAGACGGTGAGACACTCAGCTCACCAAACTGGACTGACCATTCATAAGGATCATTATACCTGTCGGGGGAGGAGAGAGCAGTCAGCCCATCTAGGCTCCTCTCTGGTGTTTGTTCATCCTTAACAACAATACCAAGTACTTATGGGCCAGAGGGCCCCTGTAGGAATCACCCAACACAGGCCACACACACAGTCCTTGTTCCTGGGCACTGTGATGGGAGATGCAGAAGAGTCTTGTCACCTATTAGAGCTGTCCTAAAGACACAAGTTGAGCCCAAGGGAAGCTTTGTGCAGCCCCCTCAAAAGGCTGAGCAGATGTGGGGACCAGTGTGAGGCTATTTGGGAAGGATTTAAGGAAGGGAGGGAAGGAAATCAGGCAATACACCCAAAAGGGCATGGGAATGTCCAGAAAAAACATTCTAGAAGATCTGAAAGGGCTCCCTCCAGGGGCACCAATGTAAAACCTTGTGGATCTAACCAGCCACAGCCACACCTGAGGTTCAGTATAATACTTTGCTATATCTGCTTGAAATGCTCACCTAGGTGTCCGGCTCAAGGCTGAGGTCAGTGACCTCCCTGCCCCTCCACCACTCTTGCTCCACCACAGACTCACTTTTGGAAGCAGTGGGCAGCTGTAAGTACCCAGCGACGGTTGAGCAAAGTCCCTCCACATATGTGGCTGCCCCATACGCGTAGACTCCCTTGCCACGGCCAGCGCCCAAGCACTGCGTCATCACCACCCACCACACGTGAGGGAATGGTGGTCCGGTGGCCACAGGGCCCTGTAAAGAGGATCAGACCCAGCTATGGCTGGGCTGAGACTGGCCCACCCCATCCCTTGTAGCCCCGGGCACGTGGAGGGGAGGGGTTTCCTAGGAACCCACTGGGTTCCTAGAGATCCTCATGCATCTGGTAGTACCCGAGGGGCCCGTTACTATCAAACACCCATGAGTTCTGGATCCTGGGGCTAAGGAGAGGAGGAGTTGAGAGGAGGCAAGAAGCAGGTCCTGAGCACCTTACCTGACAATGGGTCGATTTCCTGTAGTTCTGGGTGGAAGCAAGAAAGTGAGCTCCACTTCATCTCCACCTCCCCATCTACCCATCACCCCCAGTCCCACAATAGCACCCCCAGATAAGCTCACCCGGTTTCTCGGAATCCTGCAACAACGGTGACTGTGTCACCGCCATCGCCACCATTACCAGCAGCAGCACCAACGTCTTGCCCCGCGCGCCCATGGCCACCTCTCCCACCACTTGGCACCCCCTCTACTTCCTGCTGTGCCAGTCCCGCGCCCACTGGGAAAGAGGCAGCTCCCTGGACTCCAGGGCTGTTTGGGGACCATAGTGCCCTCGCACTATCTTCCCAGGATATCTATCAAAGCTCTTGATAGGGTGCAGGGAGCGTGAGCAGTTCTGGGCTCATCTGAGCTCAGAAGTGCTGGCTGCCTCCCTTGTGGCCCTCTGTCCTCCGCCCACGACTTCCTCCAGGACCAAAGTGAAGACCCTCAAGCCAGGGGCGCCCCCGGAAGGCCCATGAGCAGCACATCTAAGGTCAACGCCAGCTAGAACCAGCCAGGAACATTCTCCACCAGCTTAGGCTGCCTGCTCCCTACAGGCTGTGCTGTCGTAGCCTTCCACAACGGTGAATCGTTTTAAAATTTTTATTTTGTTGCTGGGCGTGGTGGCGCACGCCTTTAATCCCAGCACTCGGGAGGCAGAGGCAGGCGGATCTCCGAGTTCAAGGCCAGCCTGGTCTACATAGTGAGTTCCAGGACAGCTGGGGCTATAGGGACTCTGTCTCAAAAAGACCAAAAGGCGGGGGGTGGTATATTACTTTTCTTTCTATTTTCTTTTTGTTTTTTTCTATTTTTTTTTCTTTTTGAGTGATTTATTTTGTAGCTCACGCTGAACTTAAATTACTACCCTCTGGCCTTAGTCTTCCCAGTGCTGAGATGCTACCATACTCTATAGAATGGTGTATGTGTGCACGTGTATATGGTACCGACTATCAATAGATTCCCTTTCAATAGGTAGGTTTTTTTGGGGGGGGGAGTTTGTTGTTGTTGTTGTTGTTTTTGAGACAGGGTCTCCCTGTAGCCCAGCTGGACTGGAACTCTCTATGTAGACCAGGCTGGCCTTGAACTCACAGAGATCCGCCTGCCTCTGCCTCCCGAGTGCTGGGACTAAAGGTGTGTGCCACCATGTCCAGCTTAGATAGATTTTTTAAAATTTAAGATTTATTTTCTTTTTATTTATGTGTTTGTGTGTGTATACTATGTGTGTGTAGGTGCTCTCTGAGGCTATTTGTGGGTATTGGATCCCACAGTCAATTGTGAGCTGCCTGTCATGGGTGCTGGGAACTGAACTCATGTCCTCTGGGAAAGCAGCAACCAGTCTTAACTGCTGAGTCATCTCTGCAGACCCAATTTTTTTTTAAATTTTTTTTCAATTTTTATTTTATGTGTATGAATGTATTGTCTGCGTGTTTGTGAGTGCACCCGTGTTGTGCAGTGCCACATAGGTCAGAAAAAGGTGAGAAGAAGGCATCGGATTCCCCTGGGACTGGAGTTAAGGATGGTTCATAGCTGCCATGTGGATGCCGGGGATCAAACCTGGGTCCTCTGAAAGAGCAGCCAGTGCCTTTATCCGCTGAGCCCCTAGGATTTCATTCTTTTATGACCAAATAGTATTCAGTTATACATCTATACCACATTTTCTTTATCCATTCATCCATTGATGGACACCATGTCTTGCTGCTGTGAATAATGCTGCAGTGAGATGCTCAGCCTGATGCTCTGTATTAAATCTTTGTTCTTTGTGTTTGTTTGGTTGGATCTTTTGGGTTTTATTTTGTTTTATTATAGACAGGGACTTCCTGTAGCTCCAGCTGACCTGGAACTCACTATGTAGACCAGGCTGGCCTTGATCTTACAGAGATTGCCTGGGATTAAAAGCATGCACCACCGCCAGGTGTGGCACACGCCTTTAGTCCCAGCACTTGGGAGGCAGAGGCAGGCAGATCTCTGTGAGTTCAAGGCCAGCCTGGTCTACACAGTGAGTCAGGACAGCTGGGGTTAGGGTTAGGGTTAGGGTTAGCCCCACTACAGGGAGACCCTGTCTCAAAAAGACCAAAAACAAAAATAAATAAATAACACTCTAAGGAACAGCAACTGCCTATAGCTGCCTGGTATGTAGAAGAATACAGAGATCAGGAAAGAAAATGCTTATGTTCTGTGAGCCACACAGAAGTCACCTGGCTTTTCTTCATTTTTAAATTAATTTTTTTGTTAATGTACAAAACAATTGGGGCTAGAGAGATGGCTCAGCAGTTAAGAACCCTGACTGTTCTTGCAGAGCACCCAGGTTCGAATCCCAGCACCCACACGGCAGCTAACAACTGTCTGTAACTCCAGTCCCAGGGGATCTGACATCCTCTTCTGTCCTCCTCAGGCATTGCACGACATGGGTACACTTACCTACATGTAGGTGATACACACATACACATAAAATAAAATAATAAATAAAATTTTTAAAAAACAGTTTTGCTGACATTTTCTTTTGCTTTGTTTTGTTTTTTGGGGTGTTTTTTTTGTTTTTGTTTTTTTGGTCTTTTTGAGGCAGGGTCTCCCTGTAGCCCCCAGCTGGCCTGGAACTCACTGTGTAGACCAGGCGGATCTCACAGAGATCCGCCTGCCTCTGCCTCTGCCTCTCAAGTGTGCCACCATGCCCAGCTTCACTGACATTTTCGTACTGTATATAGCATTGTTCTTTGTTCCTCTTTACCCCGTTATCCTCTCTTGTCCTGGCCCACTGGTCTCCTTCCTTCTCCCAAATAGGAAGATGCTTTCATGCCATATATTTATATTTTGAAATCTAGATTCCACGTTGAGTGAAACTGTGATGTTTTGTCTTTCTTCTGGTTACCTCTCCTGTTCCCTCTCCCTCCTCCTTTTAGTTCCCTTCCTCCCCCAAAGTCGTACCCCTTCTCCTTTCACATGGGTTAAATCTTGATGAAGGTTGAAACTGCCTTTGACAAACTTTGTTGTCTAGGACCAACAAGATGGCTCAGCAGGTAAAAGCACTTGCTGAACAAGCCTGTCCTTCTGAGTTCAATCCCTGGAACCCAAAAAACAAGTCTGGAAAGCTTGTCCTCTGACCTCCACATGTGTGCCCTGATGTGTGTGCCTCCCCAACCTCATGCACACATAAATAAATAAATAAATAAATAAATAAATAAATAAATAAATAAATAAATAAATAACTTTATTGTTGGGGGGTCAAAGAAATAGTAGGAGAGGAGACAAGACACTAGTAGGTTATTCATCTTAGTGTCCCAGTGGCCTGTGGCCTCTGGAGGAAGTCTGCACTAGCTAGCTTTTCTGAAGCTATGATCAAAATACCCAACATAAAGATGCTGAGGGAGGAGGGATTTGTTTCAGCTTATAGTGTCAGAGATGCCAATCCATCATGGCAGGGAGGGTGTAGCAGAGCATAGTAGTTCATATTCTGGTGGGCAGGAAGAAGAGAAAAGGGAAGATGGGGCCAGGGCAAGATACAGCCCCCAAAGACACTGCCCAGTGACACAACTTCCTCCTACTAGACCTCACTTGCCTTTTATCCTCTCCTAATAATGCCATCACATTATGAATCCATCGAGGGATTATGTTATTCATTAGGTCAGAACCCTGGTGACAGTCTGGAAGCACCCTCACAGAAACCCCAGAGGAGTAGTTACTATCTATAACTTAAGCTTGTCTCAATCCAGTCAAGGTGATAATTAAGCTTAACCATCACTGGGTCTGTGCCTGTTTGGTGCCCCTCTGTGTGTCCTGAACCCCACTTACCCTAGGACATGATAGGGTTGGCAGAGTGGTAAATTCCCCAGCACTAGAAGCTCCAACAGGTAGGATGGCTAGTCAGGACTCCACTGTTGTTGGGGACCCCTGCTGTCTAAGGTAGCAGTCTCTACATGTCCGGATAGCCACAAGTCCGCTCGCGTTCATATGCAGAGACTCCCTTTCTCAGCGGGGTGCCTTCCTACTCTCTTCCTGACTCACCTTTTGAAGTGGCCGCCACAGATGCCCTACCAAAAACATGGCGTCTGGCACAAGAAACTGCCAGGTTTTTCCTGTGTGATAATCAGGCAATGTCTGGCAACCTGATGGAAGCCCACCACCACATGTAAATGGGGCATCCTACAAAGCACCTATCAACTAAGGCTTTTGCTACTGCCACCACACTTTAAAATATCCTGGTTTCCCCTAATTAATCAGAGCTGAATCACTAAGACCTGGAGCTGAGCTGAGTCACTGAATAAAGGAGCTGTACCTGACTGAGCTGAGTTCTGTGTCTTACTGCCTACGATTCAGTCTAACCCTTCGTAAACAACGACTGGCGAAGATTCTGCTTTCGCCTTTCCCGCACCTCCCCACGTGATCCAGCCTCGAGGGAGTGCCTGGTGGCTTGGAACTGAACCTGCTTGGAAGCGCAGCGACCAGTAGAGTCGCCAGCATCCAGTAGTCGCAGAGAGCGTCAGCGACATGCGTGCACCCCAGCAACGTGGAGAGCCAGGGACCCGAGCAGCAACGCGGTGCACGAGACCCGCCCATACACTGTCACTGGGTCTGCTCTCCCGGAGTCCTGAGCCTTGAGCCTTGTGGCAAGGCAGGAACAAGCAGCTAGGAACCCCACCAGGAGGTGCTTTAAAGAGCTCTTCCAAGCCAGGCATGGTGGTGCATGCCTGTAGTCCCAGCACTTGGGAGGCAGAGGCAGGGAATCTCTGTGAGTTCAAAGCCAGTCTGGTCTACAGAGTGAGTTCCAGGCCAGCTGGGAGATCCTGGGTTTTTTTGTTTTGTTTTTTTTAAAAAAAAAAACAAAACAAAAAAACAAACAAACAAACAAAAAACATTTCCAAATAGTGGCCCATAGGGATGGGATCAGGTCAGGACACTCAGGGACAGAATGGGTCCCAAGAGGATAGGGTAGATCCATAGGGATGATAAAGGACCAAGGTTCTCCCAAGAACTGTCCCTTTTATGTCCATTAACACCCTAGGACTCATGTCTCAGCCAGTCTCTGTGTACTCCCTGATGCCAGGATCAAGTTCCGCTCACCACTCAGGCACAATGCCAGCCACCACCTTGAGAGACTAGGGAGACCATCCTGACTGCAGTCCAAGGGGTAGCTCCCATGCCCTTTTTCTTTTATCATTACAGCGTGTGTGTGTGTGTGTGTGTGTGTGTGTGTGTGTGTGTGCGCGTATGAAGGTCAGAGAACAACTTTCAAGAGCTGTTTGTCCTTCCACCATGTAGGTCCTAGTTGTCAGGCTTGGTGGCAAGCACCTTTACCTGCTAAGTCATCTCACTGGCCCTATCCACATCCTTGACAGCCCCTTCCATCCCGGCTCTCTCTCCACTGCTGGCTCCAGCCCCTGCCCTTCCCCCCACATCCCCACCCCACCTGGCTGTCCTTTCACAGTCATTTCTGCACCTGCTTCAGCCACTAGGGGGCCACAGACTCTCCAAGACTGTGGTGGAGACTGGTACCTTCCTAGCATTCAGCTCCCTGAACTAATGGCACCTCCTCCACAGGGCCCACCGCACCCTGACTAAACAAAAATGAGCCCCATAGGCTCCTACATATCACCCATCCTACTTCCCCCAGAACTAAAGAGTGTAGCCCTGAAAGCTCTCAGCTGATGATTCACGTGTAGTTCTGCCTGCCTCTGTGCTCTGTGTGGGGTGAGCTTGGGTATTATCCGATGAATTGAAGGGTTGATGGTGGAGAAAAGGGGGAAATAAAGGGTAAATGGAAACACAAAGACTGTCAGTGTCCCCAGGGCTACAGATCTTTAGCTAGGAGATCAGGTCAAGTGAAGTGACTTGCCTTACAGTGGCCCTTCCTGAGCTTTGACTCTTTAAGCTGCCCTTGGTCAATATTAGCTCTTTGGAAGTGAAAGACAGAATGTGATGCTCAGAAGACCCTTGGAGGTCCTCAGGTTCCTCTAGGTAGGAGGGGAGGATAACGCTTTCTTCCCTGCCCCCCTTAACTCTGTCTCACTAGGCTACCACACCATGGGGCTCCTGAGGAGGTGGGCAGCAGCAGCTAGGGGTCATATCCCTGCTGGGTGGTGCAGGAGAGGGTCTTCCACATGAGGGAGAGGCATCCACACTCTTCCCTGGTATATCCCAGCCAGTAAGCACAGCATCTTAAAGGCACACCTCAGACGTGGCCAGCAGAGGAGCTTCAGGAACATGGTAGCCATGCCATGTCCCTGGAAGTCAGAACACGGTGGCATCTAACTGACTGAATGGTTAATCTAGAGACAGGCATGAGCCATTTGCCTCATGCAGGGTTGGCTGTGCATATGGCATGCTGTGTGCCAGGCCAGTCCCATTTCTATCATCACTGCAATCTCCAGTCCCACCTGTAGCCAGACTGTCACGAGGCCCAGGTATCCTGTGGATATCTCTGGGGATGATCAGGCAGCAGGAGACAGATCTTGAGGCTGACAGTCCTGTTATAAGAGGCAAGAAGAATGATAGGGACACATGCACCCTGTGACAGAGGAGGCTTCAGGGAGGAGCCTGAGTCCAGGTAAGTAAAGCAACAGAGACAGGACTCAGAGGAGGAAACCCTGAGCCAAGTAAGGTCAGGGATGGGTCATCTGTATGTGGGCCTGGAGCAGAGGGGCCCTGTGATTTCACAGGCCATGGCTGCCCTGGGACAGTGTGACCACTGTGCCAGAGGGGTGTTCAAACAGGATCAGTCTGTCCCCACCTCTTGCATCCTCCTATCTCAGGGAAGTAGACAAGGTCCCCACTCACATCTCCGTTCCTGCCTGGGTCCCAATCTTAGCTTGGGTCTCCAACTGTAGTCTTATAAACCCAGTCAGTCTCCAGACTTCCCTGGAATGATGGGCTGGGGGAGAAGAGAGGTTGAAAGCAACCCCAGCTTGTCACCACACCAGCACCATTTTACCCAGAGGCATGAACTAGCATCTCACCTGCCCAGCCCAGGCAGACCCAGGCCTGAGCCCGCCCTCCAACCCTGCCCATAGTCCTGGGAGTGGGTCTCATACCTCCCAGTGACCCTGAGATTCACTCCAGCTCTACCAATGACCTCTAGGTGGAACCTCCTTGTCCACCTATGACTTTAGCAGTCACCCCATGCCCTACTCTGCCATGCCAAAAGCCTAAAAGCAAGGCTGTTGAGCCACGTGGGCCTGGGCAAGCTTGAGTTTCCAGCTCTTGGCTTCCCCCTGCTGAGCAACAGGGCTGTGTACCACCAGGAGTGCTGAGTATCTGGTGACACTGTGTGGGTGATGTTTGTATATGTGGGAGGTATTTGGGGGTGTCCTTCTGGGCTCTGTGGAAGCTGCAGCTCATAGGCATGGGAGGAACCACGCAATGGGAAGACGTATCCTGCTGGATTCAGTCTTTATTGTTTCAGACAATGATACACTGCAGAAATACCAACCCAGTCCCAGAAGTCACAGAAGCTTCCGAAGGATACCCTGAGAGGTGACTGAACCCATGCTCCACCTGGAGTGGTGGGGCAAGAAAGAGGGCAGAGGCCTGAGGTACCACCCCTCGAAATCCATAGGCCCCCAAGGGAGTGTGAAAGGCAACTCAGGCCATGGGGACTAGAGGGAAACCAGAGCTTGGCTGAGGGTCCCAAGGGTCTGAAGAGGGAGGAATATGGGGGTTGGGAGGCTTCTATAGGGGGAGGGGCAGGAAAATGTCCCTGGAGGATAGAGCACAGCTAGGGTACACATCCACTGGTGGCTATGTAAGGAGGGCATGGGGAAATCGGGGAGGGAGTCTTTGGGAGAAGTTGTTCCTATCTGGGAGCAGAGAGAGGGCAAGAGCTCAGAATATAGCAGTTGAGATCATAAGATTCTAGGTTAGGCAAACCCCAGGAAGATGAGGATGCTACCCAGCAGTCCCAGGAACAACAGGCCAGAGAGTGAGGTTCCTGAAAGGCTGGGAGAGAAGTTTCTTTCATCTGGATCTGAGTTCCACATCCTGTTCACAATCCATGAGGTGTAGATGCTGACGTTGACATAAACACCCGGCCTGTTGGGTTGGGCACACCCAGATCCCCAACTCACCACCCCTGCCTGGGTCCAGACACCACTAATGTCACAGACCAGGGGACCTCCAGAATCACCCTGGGGAGAAAGAAAAGGTCCAGAGGTGTTGGGACTGCTTGAGCCTACTATCCTCCTGGCATAGGGAGGAATGGAGGTTCTCCTCACCCCAGTCCCACCAGACTTCTCTTCATCATAGTAGACAGGATTGATGGGTTAGAAGTTTCTAGAAGGTGGTAGAGATGGCTGGTCTAAGAACTGAGGAGAGGGGATCCCTAGCAAATGGAACAAACAACGGTGCCTCTAAGTAAAACGCAAACTTCTTCCAGAGCTGTGTGTTCAGAGCTGGGAACAGAAGGGCCATTTCCACATCGCTGATACTGCTGCTTGCCTTGGTTTATTTATTCATTTGTTTCTATCTAAAACATCTCTTTGAGGTAACAATCAAAGGTGTCTGGCAATCAGGGTGTGTAGAAGAGCAAATACAAAAAGACAAAACTAATCAAGCTTGAAAGTGGCCTGCTCCTCATGAAAATCTGGTCAAAGGTTCTGAGTATTATATTGAGGGGGTTACAGAAGTCAAATGTTCTGATCTTTTCTCTCTGCTGAGGATGGAAGCCAAGTTTTTTCAAATGCTAGGCAAATGCTCTACCACCAATCCATACCCTTAGCACTCTGATCATTTTTATTTTATTTTATTTTATTAGAGGAGGGGAGATTGGGAGCGTGCACTCATGTGAGCATGTGGAGCCCAGAGGTTGATATGAGATGTCTTTATCACTCTCCACCTTATTTTTTGAGACAGGTCTCTCACTGAACTTGGAACATGTGTTTTGGCTAGATTAGCTAGCCAGCAAGCCCCAAGGATCTGTCTCTGACCACCCCCCAGTTGCTGGGGTTATAGACATATGATATCAAATCTGGCTTTTGTTTTTACATGGGTACTAGAGATTCAAACTCACATCTTCATGTTTGTGAAGCAGGAACTTTACCACTGAACCATCTCCTGGGCCCTCTGATCATATTTATATTTATATGATATTTGAAAGGTCGACAGCATCTGGGAATTCTTTTTCTTTTTGAAGTGTGTGTGTCTGTGTGTGTGGTGTTAGTTGTTGTCTGTTGATGTTGTTGCTGTTTCTAAGATGCTCCACCCCTCCTGGGAGGTTCCCAGGGTGATGAGAGGACCACCCTGCTCACTGGGAATGGGGCTGTCTGGGTGTGGCTCACTCACATTACAGGCGTCCTTCCCGCCTTCCTTAAAGCCGGCACACAGCATGTCCTCATGTATGATGGTCTCCTGGCTGGAGATGGAGTTCTCCTGGTAGTAAGAATTACAGGTCTGGGCATCGATGAGAGGCACTTCCAGCTCCTGCAGGATAAAAGGTGGTACGAGTTCTGGGGTAGAGAAAGAGCAGAATTCAGGGGAGGGGACATGTCATTCCCTCGCTGTTAGCCCTAGATGCCTAACTGGACCTGGTAACTAGGGTTATTTCTACTGCTTCTTAGAGTAGAGGCCTTGTTTTCTCACATGAAACCCCATCAGCTTTGCCAAAATGGACTCAAGGATGAGGACACAGATTTGTCCTCACATCACAAAGCTGGGGACACTTGTTAGTTTCCTCCCCAAGATAGCTACACACAGATGTTTGGTGACTCTGTGGGTCTCAGCCTCCTTCCCAGCATCAGGACAGTGGAGTGGGATGGGCACATGGTGGGCACAGGACATTGAGGAGTCCACACTTGGCTTCAAGACCCAAGACCCAGGCCTCTGGTCAAGTCACGTTCACTACATGACCCTACTCTTCTCATCATTATAAATGTGAAGTCAGCCGGGCGTGGTGGCACACACCTCTAATCCTAGCACTTGGGAGGCAGAAGCAGGCGGCTCTGTGAGTTTGAGGCCAGCCTGGTCTACATAGTGAGTTCTAGGCCAGCTGGGGCTACAGGGAGACCCTGTCTCAAAAAGACACCCCCCCCCAAAAAAAAAGAATGAGCCCTGGCAGACACCATGAAGGGCCCTTTAGCAGAGATGGCAGGAAGGATGTGGTCTAAGTTAGACTTGCAATCCTTAGCCCCCTGCTGGGCACAGTACTGTCCTTTTAGTTATCAGATGCTGGGAGGACTGTTAAGGCCCAGCAGCAGTAGGCTGCTGATTAGCTGCTGTGGCAATATTTCAATATACACCCTCTGTGGTGGCTGTCCTGTACATGGGCTCCATGTAGGTCCTGTCTGAGCTTGGGAACTGGCCCTAGGGAGGGTGTCAAGACTGACCTCTGCTGAATTCACCACCCATTCTCCCTCCACCCTGCCACCAGATTCAAACATACTTACTTTGATTCATGGCAGTGTACCCCCAGCCAGTGACCCAACACAAGGTGCCAGGATCCAGGGGGTCTCTGGGTTTGGGGAGGCAGACTGGAAGGATGAGGTCATCAAAGGAGATGGATGAAGCCAGTCGCACCAGAGCAATGTCTCCGCTACCATCCTTCTCTGAGTAGCCTGGATACTTGATATACTCAGCCACCTCACTCACTTTCCCAGACTCATTGACCCCAGGATAGGAGGAGATGGAGACCAGCAGTACTGTGTAGGCAGACGGGTCCCTGGGGAGAATGGAAATGTCAGGGGGATCCCATGATTGGGAAAGAAAGACAATCTTTATGTAGGGGGCTTACTGTCATTATTAGGCTTTTCTGAGAGCTAAGCACATGGAAACAATGCTGAGCATCCCCTTTAATGGCCACCATTAATGGTCATTCCAAGGTGTGGAACACAATTATGGAAGTCAAGTCATCCATCCAAAGGCCGTCTGGCTAGCAAGTAGTGCAATCAAGATCTTAGATTCTCAGGAGCTAGGGAGATGACTAAGTAGATAAGTACACTTCGGATACAAGCAAGAGGACTTGAATTTAAAGCCAGGCCTGGCAATGCATATGTCTGTAATTCCAGCCTACCCCTATGGGGAAATGGGAAGTAAAGACAGGAAAAACAATGGAAGCTTGCTGACCAGCAGTGGATAAAAAAAGAAAAAAAGAAAAAAAATAGGTAGAAGATGAGGCCTGAAATACAAAGCTGTCCTTTGACCTCCACATGCACACTGTGGCATGTGTGTGCCTTCACACACACACACACACACACACACACACACACAAGACCTTGGATTCTCAAGGGATGTTTCTAGAAAGAGTTGATTCTCTCTCTCTCTCTCTCTCTCTCTCTCTCTCTCTCTCTCTCTCTCTCTCTCTCCCCCTCTGTGTGTGTGCATCTGTGTGCAGGTGCATGCTCCTGTGCATGTGTAGAAAGCAGAGGATGTCAGACACCCTGCTCTATTATTTTTGACCTTGGTTCTTTGAGATGGTGTTTCTCCCTGAACTTAGAGCTACCTTGGAGGCCAGCAGTTCCCAGAGATCCTCTTGTCTCCTCCACCACCCCCAGCACTGTGGTTACAGATGCTTTTAATATGGGTGCTGGGGATTTTAACTCAGGTCCTCGTGCTGGTGTAGCAAGCACTCTTACCCACTGAGTCATCTCTCCTGCTCAAGAGTTGATTCTTGATAGCCAGACTAGATGCTAGGAGAATACAGCCCTGCCTCATCTCCTGTCATGGTGGGTAGGCAGGTTATGGTTCAAATTGAGGAATGAAAATGTCTGGAACAGGAAAGTCCAGCTGGCCCCAACCCCACATGATCCCTGGGGAGACACTCACTGGTTGAAACAGTGGGCAGCTGTCAACACCCAGTCCTCGGCAATCAGAGAACCTCCACACACATGTTCCCCAGATTCCCTCAGGCTAACCTGCCAAGGCCACTCGCCCACCTGGGCATTCTGCCCCGACACGATGCGGCCTGATGCCCTAGGACGTCCACACACTGCAAGAAATCAGTAGAATTGGGTAACACATAGCCACTCTGCCCCCCATATGCCCTCAGACCTCGCTCATTTGTCACAGCCCCTGGTAGTTCGACCAGCATGGGCCAGTTGTGTGTAGATGAGTCCCCAATGCCTTGGTTAACAACACCTGCCAGATATAAGACCCCAAGGAGCCAAGATCAGATAATTCTCTGGATCTGTCCCAAACTTAATTCTCCTGCTGGTCCTGCCTGTGATCCTAGCACCTGGGAGGCTGAGGCAGGAGGATCAGGAGTTTAAGGCCAGACTCCATTATATAATAAAGTCAAGGTTAGTCTGTGCTACCTGAAACCTGGGCTCAAAAACCCAAAATAAGCAAAATAAAACTAAGAAAACAACAACTAAGCCTACACTCTATTCCTCCTGAAGCACCTGTCCTCCACCAACCTTGTGCCATCCTACCTGAATCCAGATTGATGCCACTGTCTCTCATGAGGGACAGGCTGTAGGACACAGCTGGGGAGCTCTCACTCTGCAGAAGGGCTCCAGGAAGGAGGATGAATAGGATGGTAGCCAGAACGAGTTCCATGATACACTTGCCCCAGCACCCTGCCTGGTCTGAGATTAGAATTCTCAGACACTCCAGGAAGGAGGAAGGTGATTGCAGCTCTAGTGTGGCTCCTGGGCTTGCCCTGGGGTGGGGCTCAGCCTCTACACCTGCTCTCCAGCCTTGGGAGGGGCCTACTGCTTCCACTACACCTGGGCAGTGGAACCCTGATCTCCCCACAGAAGTCAAAGGGGATACCTCGAGCCTGAGGCATCTCTACCTGCACAATCTGTATGCTCTGGGGTCCTTGGCCAGGCTCTTGAGCTCCTGTCCTTCCTGCTCCTGGAATCACAGGAACTCTTACCTTTTATTAGCACCAGCCCACTGTATAGTGTGCCTGGCATTGTACCAACCACAGGACACACCCTCACCTGGCTCTCCAGGAACTATTCTGATCCCTAAGACTCTAGGGTGGAGGCTGTGATCCAATTACACAGGGGCAGTCAAGAATTTCACCTCTGTCCTTTACTGCAGTGTCCAGGATCCCTGGGAGGTGGAAGGGGACAGACCAATCTGAGCTGCAGTCTCCAGGGCCTGCTAGAGGGTGTCCTGTCTAAGCATACCTCACTCTGCCCCATGAGCACACTCCAACCAGAGCCTGACGTCACCAGGAAAAGTTAGTTCCTGTGGTGTGACCCAGGCAGGCACCATCATGTTCATCACTGCCCACCAGGGGGTAGCCATGGACTGGCTTGGGGCTCAAAGACCTCCCAGAGACTGTGTAGGCAGAAATGCCTGGAGCTGGAGGTACCCCTTCTAACTCCTGTGGTATTTCTCTTCTCCAGAAGTTTCTATTCTGTTAACAACTCACCTCTCAATCTCCAGAAGAACCCCTTCCTATGAAGCATTACCCCTGGTGTCTTACTGGCCTTCCAAGCACCCCAAGTGCCCCATTGAAATTGATGAAATTGAAATCATGTAATGACTACATCTCCAGCTATAGTAACTTTTTAAAATATTTTATTTTTATTTTATGTGTATGTGTGTATTGCCTGCATATGTGTGAGTGCACCTGTGTCGTGGCAATGCCTGCAGAGGTCAGAAGAGGGCGTCAGATCTCCCGGAACTGGAGTTACAGATGGTTGTTAGCTGTTACTGATGGTTGTTATCATGTGAGTGCTGGGTATCGAACCTGGGTCCTCTGCAGGAGCAGTCAGTGCTCTTGACCGCTGAGCCATCTCTCCAGTCCCCTATAGTAACTTTTTTAAAGATTCTTTTTGAGCTAGGTGTGGTGGCACACACTTTTAATCCCAGTACTCGGGAGCTCTGTGAGATCAAGTCCAGCCTGGTCTACATAGAGAATTCCACTCTAGCTGGGGCTACAGGGAGACCCTGTCTCAAAAAACAAAAACAAACAACAAAGAAAAAAGATTTTTTTAATGTGTATGAATGTTTTGCCTGCATGTATATGTGTACCCATTTGTGGAATGCCCATGAAAGCCAGAAGAGGGTGTTGGATCCTGTGGAACTGGAGTTAAGGACAGTTGTTAGCTGGCATGTGGGTACCGGGAATTGAACCTGGGTCTTCTGCAAGAGCACCCAATGCTCTTAACCATTGGAGTCATTTCTCCAGTCTCTAGAGTGTAACTTTAACAATGTAAAATATCCCTAAACTTCAGACTTAAATACACAAGTCTTGGATCCTGTTTTATCCAGTATTAAAATTTCCACATCCATTTCCATCTTGCATGAAATGGTTTCATCAATCTACTTTTTAATTTAAAATAAAAAGAAAACAAGGGTTGGGGATATAGCTCAATTGGTAAAGTGCCTGGCTAGCATGCAGGAAGCTTTGGGTTCAATCCCCAGCACCACATTAACAGGTGTGTGGTGGTACATGCCTGCAATCCTAGCACTCAGGAGGTGGAGGCAGGTGAATCATTAGTTCAGGGTCATCCATGGCTACATAGCAAGTTTGAGGCTAACCTAGACTTCATGAGATCCTGAAAAAGAGAGGAAGAGAGGTGGGGGGAAGGGGGAAGGGAAGGATGGAAAGAAGGAAGGAAGGAAGGAAGGAAGGAAGAAAGGAAATTTACCTACTTGAACTCATTGAGATAGGTAGGTAGGTGATGGATGGATAAATAGACAGATAGATAGATGATAGATGATAGATAGATAGATAGATAGATAGATAGATAGATAGATGATAGTTAGATAGATAGATGATAGATAAAGATATAGATATGGGAATCTTCTTGCTGGAATCTTGTAAGAGAATAAGATATGTTCATTAACCACTCTTGTGTTTGCAAACCAGACTAAAGTTTCATTTTTTTAAATTTTTTATGTGTATGAGTACTTTGCCTACATGTATATGAGTACACTACACATGTGCAGAGCTCACAGAGGCCAGAAATGGATATCAGAGCCCCTGTTGTTAGCTACCATGTGAGTGCTGGGAACAGAATCTGGGTCCTCTGTAAGATCAGCACAGCAAGTGCTTTTAACCGCTGAGCTATCTCTCCAGCCCCAACTAAAGGTTTATGATTCCAAAACAGCTCATGAGGATAACGGCACATAAAGCCTTAAGAATTTTTTCTAGAAACTGTGTTGGAACTGAGCCTGTTGTCATAGGCCTATGATACCTGGTATTTGAGAGGCTGAGTCAGGAATATCACAAGTTGAAGGCCAACCTGGGAGAAGGCATGAGACCCTGCCTCCAAATAAAAAGTAAAAAGAGAGCATAATATAGTTTAATGACAGTATTTACCTAGCCTTTCTGAGGCCTTGGGTTCAGCAACCCGCCCCCACAATAAAGCTATTTCCTCTTAATTGGAGCCTTTCCCCCCTAGAGAGAGGAGAGACGCTAAGACTCAGGTAGCTAAGGAAACTGGAAACTCAGAGGGTTGGGAGATGGCTCAGTCTTGCTGAACAAGAGATGGTTCAGTGCTTGCTGAACAAGAATAAAGAGTTTCATCCCCAGAATCTATATAAAAACCTGGGCATGATGATACACATTTGCAATCTCAGCATTGGGGAGGCAGAGGCAGGCAGATCTCAGGGGCTTGCTGGTCAGCCTAGCCCCAGGCTCCAGTGAGAGATTCTGTCTCAAAAAATCAAAGTAGACAGCTCCTGAAGAATGACACCTGGGGTTGACTTCTGGCTTACACACGCACACACACACACACACACACACACACACACACACACACACGTACATAAAAGCAGTTAACAATTGCTGGGAAGAGGAGGCTCTGCAGCTGGCAGAGCCGCCTGCAAGTTGAGTCATCTCCATGCTGCGTGTGCTTTCTGTGATGCAGTTGCCTTCAGGTTTACTCATGCTTTCGTAAGCAATACCAACAAACTCATTAATTTGCTAAGCTACACTTGGGTGAAATCCTTCCTTTGATTTGTCATCATGCCCTATCTGGGGTAAATATACATTTGTTCATATCTTCTGCAGGAAAAAGTCACACAATATTCCCAGTACCAGAAAGAAAGAAAGAAAGAAAGAAAGAAAGAAAGAAAGAAAGAAAGAAAGAAAGAAAGAAAGAAAGAAAGAAAGAAAGAAAGAAAGGGGGATAGGGAGGGAGGAGAGGAGAAGGGGGAATAAATTATGTTGGAGAAGTCCTCTATCATCAGAGCCAGTGCCTGCCCATTCATCTCTGGTTTTTAGATCTCACACCCATCCATAACTCCTTCTGTGTTTCCAAGCACCTGGTTACCTGCTCAGTGTGATGCTGAAGAGCTAAATATCCCTGGGCCCCTATGAGGTATTCCACCAGAAAGGCAACAAGGCTTCAAAGCCCTCCTTTCCATGTTCAATGTGTTTCTTGTTTCAGTACATGTTGCTCTGGGAATATTCAAAGTACAGGAAATGCTTCTTCCTTGTCAGATCTTACAATCTAGGATGCTTCCTCTGTCACAGATGCCTGGATCCCACGGGACCAACTCCAACATGCCCCCCCCCCTTTTTACTAGGCCGTTGCTGGGGATCCTAGAGCCTAGTTTTCTCTTTAGGTTTTCCTAACCCTTCTTTTACTTTAACACTTTAAAAAATATTTTATTATTTTTATTTTATGTGCATGAACATATTGCCTGCATGTATATGAGTGCACCCATGTTGTGCAATGCTGCAGAGGTCAGAAGAGGGCTTCAGATTCCCCTGGAACTGGAGTTAAGGATGGTTTGTAGCTGCCATGTGGGTGCTGGGAATTGAACTTGGTTCCTCTGCAAGAGCAGTCAGTGCTCTTAACCGCTGAGCCATCTCTCCAGCCCTTACTTTAACACTTTTTATTGTAGAAAAGTGTGTGTATGTGTGTGTGTATTTGAGTGTATGTGCACATGTGTGTATAGATAAGAGCACACATGCATGCACAACTGTGTGGAGGCCAGAGGTTGACTTTGGGGCATTTTCTTCAATCACTCTCCATCTTATTTTTTTTTTTTCAAAGATTTTTCTTTTGGTCTTTTTGAGACAGGGCCTCCCTATAGCCCCAGCTGGCCTGGAACTCACTATGTAGACCAGGCTGGCCTCAAGCTCACAGAAATCTGCCTGCCTCTGCCTCACAAGTGTTGGGACTAAAGGCATGCGCCATCATGCATGACTTCAAATATTTTTTAAAATATTTTATTTGCTGGGCGTGGTGGCACACGCCTTTAATCCCAGCACTTGGGAGGCAGAGGCAGGCAGATCTCTGTGAGTTCAAGGCCAGCCTGGTCTAC